GCAGAGGTCTCGCCAAGTTGCCCAGGTGGGTCTCGAACCCGCGGGCTCAGGCAATCCACTCATCTCAGCCTCCCAAAGGCGGGGGATTACAGGCTGAGCCACCAAGCCCGGCTCAAATTTTATTTTTTAAGGAAAGTTTGCAAACATACACAAAGAGAATAGATAAATGAACCCTCATATACCCCTCACCCAGATTCAATAATTAGCAAGATTTTGTCACTTACTTCATCTAACCCTTTCTGTTGATTTCTTTGAGGTATTATTTTTAAAGCAAATTCCAGACTTCATGTCATTTCATCTGTACTTACATCAATATATATCCCTATTAAAATAGATATTTTCAGGCCGGGCGCAGTGGCTCACACCTATAATTCCAGCACTTTGGGAAGCTGAGGTGGGAGGATTGTCTGAGCCCACGAGTTCGAGAACAGCCTGGGCAACTTGGTGAGCCCTCATCTGTACAATAAATGAAGAAAAAGTAGCGGGGCATGATGGCATATGCCTGTAGTGTCAGCTACTTGGAAGGCGGAGGTGGAAGGATCGCCTGGGCCCAGCAGGTCAAGGCTGCGGTGGCCATGAGCATGCCACTGCACTCCAGCCTGTGCAACAGAGTGAGACTCCTACTCAAAAAAAAAAAAAGTTTGGGTGTGTCGCTCAGGCTAGTCTTGAATTCCTGTGCTCAAGTGATCCTCCAGTCTCAGCCTCCATAGTAGTTGGGATTACAAGTGTGTGTCATCATGCCCAGTGAGCTGGTGCTTATAAAAATGTATGGAATAGCAGTTTTGGTTGGGCATGGTGGCTCATGTCTGTAATCACAGCACTTTGGGAGGCTGAAGCAAGAGGATTGCCTGAGTTTAGGGGTTCGAAACCATCCTGAGCAACATGGCTAGACCGCATCTCTGCAATAAGTCAGAAAATTAGCCAGGCATGGTGGTGCACACCTGTAGTTCCAGCAATTGGAAGGCTGAGGTAGAAGGATCACCCAAGGCTGCAGTGGCCGTGAGCATGCTACTACATTCCAACTTAGGCAACAAAGTGAGCTCTGACTCAAAAAAAAAAGCAATTTTGTCAATCTGTGAATTTCCTACTTTATGTATTTGGTTGTTAGTCTTTTTCTGAAATATTTATGAGCTCTTTCACATTAAAGAAATTATCAGCTGGGCTTGGTGGCTCAGCCTGTAATCCCGTGATTTGGGAGGCTGAGGTGAGTGGATTGCCTGAGCCCGTGGGTTCGAGACCCCCTGGGCAACTTGGTGAGATCTCATCTCTACAAAAAATAAAAAAATAAAAATTAGCCGGCCATGGTAGCGCGCGCCTGTAGTTCCAGCTACTTGGAAGGCTGAGGTGGAAGGATCGCCGGAGCCCAGCAGGTTGAGTCTGTGGTAGCCGGGAGCGGCCACTGCACTCCAATCTGGGCGACAGAGCGAGACTCCAACTCAAAAAAAAAAAAAAAAGAAGAAGAAATTATTCACTTGTCAGTCCCATATTTGTAAATACTTCTTTCCAGTTTTTTATTAATATTTTGACTTTGTTTATGGCATTGTTGAGTTTATAGCAGATTGGGACCTTTATATAGTTATCTATGGAAATGTATACATTTGAACTTTACGTGAGATTTAGCAATATTTTTCTGTATATCTTTTACTAGATGGTACGTTTCTTTCTTTTTTTTTTTAATCAATATTTTGTATTATGATTTTGTGGGGTACAGTTAAGGGTTAGGTGTACAATTACGTTTCATTCAGGCACCCTGTTGATAAGAGGTGCTTCCCCATCCCCAGACAGATATTTACGACTGTTAATCCCATCCCCCCCCCTTTTTTTTTTAACTGTAGAGATGAGGTCTTGCCAAATTGCCTGGGCTGGTCTCAAACCTCTGGGCTCAGGCAATCCACTTGCCTTGGCCTCCCAAAGTCCTCGGATTATAGGCTGAATCACTGAGCCTGGCCTTTGCAATATTTTTCATTATGGCTTCCAAGTTCATGTTTTACTTAAAGGCTGATTCTCCCATTCTATGAGTATAAAAAGAAAAACTCTTGGTTGGGCTTGGTGGCTCAGCCTGTAATCCCAGCGCTTTGGGAAGCCGAGGCAAGTGGATTGCCTGAGCCCATGGGTTCAAGACCTGCCCGGGCAACTTGGTGAGACCTCATCTCTACAATAAATCAAAAATTAGTCAGACATGGTAGCGCACACCTGTAGCTCCAGCTACTTGGAAGGATTGCTGGAGCCCAGCAGGTCGAGGCTGCGGTGGTCGGGAGTGTGCCACTGCATTCCAGTCTGAGCGACAGAGTGAGACTCCACCTCAAAAAAACAAAACAAAATGAAAAATTCTCATGTATTATTCTGGAATTTTCACTATTTCATATTTTTTTTTTTGAGTTGGAGTCTCACTCTGTCACCCAGACTGGAGTGCAGTGGCCACTCCTGGCCACTGTAGCCTCAACCTGCTGGGCTCCGGAAATCCTTTCGCCTCAGCCTTCCAAGTAGCTGGAACTACAGGCACGCACTATCACACCCAGCTAGTTTTGGATTTATTGTAGAAATAAGGTCTCACCAAGTTGCCCAGGCGGGTCTCGAACCCGTGGGCTCAGGTAATCCACTCACCTCGGCCTCCCAAACGCTGGGATTACAGGCTGAGCCACCAAGCCCGGCCACTATATCATGTTTATATTGAACTCTTCTATCACTCAGACATGGGTTCCCATGTTGGGAACACTTTTTTTTCTTTTTTAAATTTTTATTGTAGAGATGAGGTCTCACCAAGTTGCCCAGGTTGGTCTCCAACCTGTGAGTTTAGGCAATCCCCTCACCTCGGCCTCCCAAAGTGCTGGGATTATAGGCGTGAGCCACTACGCCCGGCCCCATGTTGGGAACTCTTGGTTGAAGGAGGTGGAAACAGCTCCTGCCCCTCTGACCTTGACTTTCTTTCCATCGATCTCAAGGGAACGCACTGTAAAGTCCACTCCAATTGTGTTCTGCTGTGTCTCGGTGTAGACCCCAGACTTGAAATGCTGTATCACACACGTCTTCCCCACATTGGAATCCCCAATGAGAATAATCTTGAACAAGTAGTCAAAGTTCTCATCTGCTGACCTGGCTGAGCTGGAGAACTGCATGGCTCTTGCCACCTAGAATAGACCTAGGGAGAAAGGAAGGACTTCAACTTCTCTTCAGTGAGCATTTACCAGGCACTGGGCACTAGGGACCAAGTAGAAGATGAGACAGAGGGAGGATATTGCTTATACTGCATGAACATCCTTGTAGTAGAAGGATACTAACAACTGGTCAGGCACAGGGGAGTTGCCCCTACAAGCCCACACCTGCCTGAAGGTGTGCTGAACATGACTTAGGGGTGTCTTCAAATGTAGAAAGTCAACACTATCAGATAAAAGCCACTGAAGAAATCCTAGTCCTGGAGATAAGGTGCCCATGCTCTATCAGGAGATGGCAGAGGAAATGCCCACAGCAGTGACCCACCATCCTTTGGAGGACCTGACTGTTTTGATTTCACAGGGGGAGAAGACTCCCACCTACTAGAAGACTGACCGACTGGGCACAGTGGCTCATGGCTATAATCACAGCACTTTGGTAGGCTGAGGTGAGAGGATTGCCTGAGCCCACGGGTTCAAGACCAGCCTGGGCAACTTGGCAAAACGTCACCTGTACAATAAATTAAAAAAAAGAATAAGCCAGGCATGGTAGCACACACCTGTATTTCCAGTTACATGGAAGGCTGAGGCGGACGGATCACCTGAGCCCAGCAGATCAAGGGGACAGTGGCCGTGAGCAGCATGCCACTGCACTTCAGCCTGGGCAACAGTGTGAGACTTCAACTCAAAAACAAAAAAAAAGATTGACTGCCCAGGCAACCAGCAAGAAGGACTGTCATGATTTGACAGGTAAGTCAGTTTAGGGAAGAGTGATGTGGCATTTTTATTCTGGTTGACAATAATTTTTCTTGCCCAGGAAATCAGGGTTTTGAGAATATTCAAAATTAAAACTGTGGTTCGAATGTTATAAGCCTGCTGGGCTCAGTGGCTCAGCCTGTAATCCCACGCCTTTGGGAGGCTGAGGTGAGTGGATTGTCTGAGTCCGCGGGTTCGAGACCCGCCTGGGCAGGCGAGACCTCACCTCTACAATAAATCAAAAAATTAGCCAGGCGTGGTAGTGCATGCCTGTAGTTCCAGCTACTTGGAAGGTTGAGGCGGAAGGATCGCCGGAGCCCAGCGGGTCAAGGCTATGGTGGCCGGGAAGTGGCCACTACACTCCAGTCTGGGCAACACAGTGAGACTCCAACTCAAAAAAAAAAAAGAATGTTATAAGCCAGGTGTAGTGGCTCACGCCTATAATTCCAGCACTTTGGGAGGCGGAGGCAAGAGGACTGTCTGAGCCCGTGGGTTCGAGACCAGCCTGGGCAACTTGGCGAGACCCCATTTCTACAATAAATAAAAAAAATTAGCCGGGCGTGGTGGCCCAAGCCTGTAGTTCTAGCTATGCGGAAAGTTGAGGTGGGAGGATCACCTGAGCCCAGCAGATCGAGGGGGGCTGTGAGTGTGTCACTGCACTCCAGCCTGGCTGACAGAGTGGGATGGACTCAAAAGAAAAAAGAATGTTATGGCATATTTTGGGGCTGGGCGCAGTGGCTCTTACATGTAATCTAGCATTTTGGGAGGCCAAGGCAAGAGACTTGCTTGAGCCCAGGAGTTTGAGGTCAACCTGGGCAACATAACAAGATTCCATCTCTACAAAAAATAAAAAAAGTTAGCTGGGCGTGATGGTGCACCCCTGCAATCCCGACTACTTGGGAGGCTGAGGCGAATGTATCACCTGAGTCCAGGAGGTTGAGGTTGCAGTGAGCTGTAAGCCGTGATTGTGCCACTGCACTCCAGCCTGGGTGACAGAGTGAGAATTTACCTTAAAAAAAAAAAAAGAATGCTACGGACTGGGCGTGGTGGCTCAGCCAGTAATCCCAGAGGATTGCCTGAGCTCAGGGGTTTGAGACCAGCCTGAGCAACATGGTGAGACCTTGTCTCTACAATTAATAATAATGAAAAAAAATTAGTCAGGCATGGTGGCACAGCTACTTGGAAGGCTGAGGAGGAAGGGTCACCTGGCCCAGTAGATTGAGGTTGTGGTGGCCATGAGTGTGCCACTGCACTCCAGTCTGGGTGACAGAGTGAGACTCTGACTCAAAAAAAAAAAAAAAAGAATGTTATGGCATATTTTACCATAGGCTGGAAAATATCTTTTCTTTTCTTTTCTTTTTTTTTTTTTTTAGTCGAGTCTCACTCTGTTGCCCAGACTGGAGGGCAGTGGCATGCTCCTGGCCACAGCAGCCTCAATCTGCTGGGCTCAGGCGATCCTTCCACCTCAGCCTTCCAAGTAGCCGGAACTACAGGTACACGCTACCACGCCTGGCTAATTTTTTATTTATTGTAGAGACCCAAGTTGCCCAGGAGGGTCTTGAACCCGTGGACTCAGGCAACCCACTCGCCTCGGCCTCCCAAAGTGCTGGGATTACAAGTTGAGTCACTGAGCCCGGCCTGGAAAATATCTCTTTTTTTTTTTTTTTTTTTTTTGCGTCGGAGTCTCACTCTGTCACCCAGACTGGAGTGCAGTGGCCGCTCCCGGCCACCTCGACCTGCTGGGCAGCCTCAACCTGCTGGGCTCTGGCGATCCTTCTGCCTCAGCCTTCCAAGTAGCTGGAACTACAGGCACATACTACCACGCCTGGCTAGTTTTTGATTTATTGTAGAGATGAGGTCTCGCTAAGTTGCCCAGGTGGGTCTTGAACCCGCAGCTCAGGCAATTCACTCACCTCGGCCTCCCAAAGTTTGGGATTACAGGTTGAGCCACTGAACCCGGTCTGGAAAATATCTTTTTTTTTTTTTTTTGAGTTGGAGTCTCACTCTGTCACCCAGACTGGAGTGTAGTGGCCGCTCCCAGCCATCACAGCCTCGACCTGCTGGGCTCCGTGATCCTTCCGCCTCAGCCTTCCGAGTAACCGGAATTACAGGCATGTACTACCATGCCCGGCTGATTTTTTGATTTATTGTAGAGATGAGGTCTTGCTGCCCAGGCGGGTCTCGAACGCTCGGGCTCCGGTAATCCACTCACCTCAGCCTCCCAAAGGCGCGGGATTACAGGCTGAGCCACCGAGCCCGGCTGGAAAATATCTTAAAGGTTTTTTTTTCCCTGTGCCTGACCCTATCTTAAAGGTTTTTAATGACAGTGTTTCCCAAATTAACTGACTATGATAATTATCTGGGGAGATAGTTAAAAATATATATTCTTGGAGCCTATCCCAGACCTGCTGAACATATTCTAAAATTAAAAAATACAAAACCCAACACTCTCTCTCAGGTGATTCTGGTGACCAGCCAGGTTTTGGAAACACTATCACCCACCTGAAACTTCATTCCCTGCTTAAATATCCACACATGCTTACATAGCTTTGATCACAAGGAACTCACTACCTCATGTAAAAAATTCCATTTTGGCCGGGCTCGGTGGCTCAGCCTGTAATTCCACGCCTTTGGGAGGCTGAGGTGAGTGGATTGCCTGAGCTCGCGGGTTCGAGACCCGCGAGAACTCATCTCTACAATAAATCAAAAAATCAGCTGGGTGTGGTAGCACATGCCTGTAATTCTGGCTACTCGGAAGGCTGAGGTGGAAGGATCGCCAGAGCCCAGCAGGTCGAGGCTGCGGTGGCCGGGAGCGGCCACTGCACTCCAGTCTGGGCGACAGAGTGAGACTCCAACTCAAAAAAAAAAAAAAATTCATTTTGTACTGAGCAGCTCTCACCTCCGTGGGGTTGAAACCGACTCCCCTCCGAGGTTTCCATCTGTCTAGCCCAGTGCTGTCCTTACTCTGCTGGAACACATCAAATTCCTTTTCCACATGACAGCTCAGCTGATATTTAATGCAGCAAGCATATCCCTCAAGGTGAATATCCCTTGGCTCTTGAACTGTTCTTCATCTGGTATTGTTAGGGTTCCTCATCAAATAGCTCATGAAAGTAACTGAAACCTCATCCCATCTGATGGCTAAATTTGATATGCTGCAAATTGCTCCTTCCTTATGACATTCTTCTTCATTTCACCCTGTCTTCCTCTTTGGTTTTCTCTAAAGACAGAAAAGGGCAAGTCTACCTCATCATCACACAAAATAAAATGCACACAAGCATCCAATGTAAAAACCCAGGGTTTTAAAGGGACAAGGGAGGATCCCACATCTCTCTTGGATGCCTCTGGAATCACATATGGCTAAATGATCCAGCAGACAAGAGGACAATCAAACTATTTTTTTCCCCTCTGTCTTTTCAACTAAAGAAAGCCATATCACTTCCGGTGTTACGCCACTGTAACCTGAGCTGAGACGTATTTCCAGATCTTCCCTGCCCCTCCCTATGGCCCCCTTAAGTCCTCAGGGTTTCCACAAAAACCCCCTTTAACACAGCCTACAATTCCTGCAAGGAGCAACATACAGTGTCCCCGCAGATGGCGTCCCTCCATCCTGCATCCTCAGCGTCACTTTCTTGACTTACCTGTTGCTTATCTGCCTCACTCCCTCACCTGTGTGGGCCAGCAGGTAATGTTTTCTTTCTCCTGCTTTTCCTCTCCAGTCCTCGATGCCCCTTCTTCCTCCTGCCTCGTTGCGTGGTGGGAAGTGTAGTTCTGGTCCCAGGGCCAGAAAAAGTGAAAGGAAAGCACAATCCCTCCCACCTGCCAGGAGCTGGAGCCGCCTCAGGGGACAGAGCACCAGTGAGGAGCAGCATGACACTGGCCTGGGTGGAGGAACAGCCAGCTCAACCAACACGAGCTAGGGTAACTGCTTGTTCCTTTCTTTCTTCTACACACTCTCTCTTGTGTACCCTTGGCTCTAAATTGTTCCTGGTGTCCCTTGTTTGGCTGGGCTGGAGGTTGTTTGTTGCAAGGACAACTTAAAAGGAAGATACAGGCTGGGGCAGTGACTCAAGCCTATAATCCCAGCTCTGCCTGAGCCCAGGGGTTCGAGACCAACCTGGGTAACATGGCAAGACGTCATCTTTACAACAAAATAAAAAAAGTAGCCTGCGCCTGTAGTCCCAGTGGGTGCAATGGCTCATGCCTATAATCCCAGAAATTTGGGAGACTGAGGCGAGAGGATTGCCTGAGCCCACGGGTTCGAGACCAGCCTGGGCAACTTGGTGAGACCTCATCTCTACAATAAATTAAAAAAAATTAGCTGGGCATGGTGGCACATGCCTGTAATTCCAGCTACTTGGAAGGCTGACACAGAAGGCTTGCTGGAGCCCAGCAGATTGAGGCTATGGTGACTGTGAGCATGCCACTGCACTCCAGTCTGGGCCACAGTGAGACTCCAACTCAAAAAAAAAACTTTTTTTAGTCGGGCTCGGTGGCTCAGCCTGTAATCCCGTGCCTTTGGGAGGTTGAGGTGAGTGAATTACCTGAGCCCGCGGGTTCGAGACCCTCCTGGGCAGCGAGACCTCATCTCTACAATAAAAATAAAAAAAATCAGCCGGGCGTGGTAGCGCATGCCTGTAATTCTGGCTACTCAGAAGGCTGAGGCGGAAGGATCGCTGGAGACCAGTAGGCGAGGCTGCGGTGGCTGGGAGCAGCCACTGCACTCCAGTCTGGGCGACAGAGTAAGACTCCAACTCAAAAAAAAAAAAAAAAACTTTTTAAAAGGCTGGGTATGGTGGTTCATGCCTATAAATTTGGTAGGTTGAGGTGAGAGGATTGCCTGAGCACATAGGTTTGAGACCAACCTGGAACAGCTTGGGGAGACTTCATCTCTACAATAAATCAAGAAAAATTAGCCAGGTATGGTGGCTTGAGCCTGTAGTTCCAGCGACTCGGAAGGCTGAGGTGGAAGAATCGCCTGAGCCCAGCAGGTCGAGGCTGCGGTGGTTGTGGGCGTGCCACTGCTCTCCAGCCTGGGCGACAGAGTGAGACGCCAACTCAAAAAAACAAACAAACAAAAATTTAGTTGTTTTGTGGATTTGAATAACTCTTTTTGAGAAGCCACTGAGAGAAAAGAGGTGATACAAAGAGAATGTGAACAAACAAAAAAATTCAAAAAGACCTTTCAAGGCATATGGAGAAAATAAACAAACAAAAATTTCTATCTCCCTCCCTCAAGAATTCTACTTCAGAATGAAAGTTAATTTCTAGGTCTGAGAAAGTTGGAGTTTGTCAGTCCCCTGATGCTGGTTTTAGATGCACAAAACTAAGGTGAAATTTCCTCCCCTTTTTTCCCCAGAGTCTAGAACAGCAATGGTTTCTAGATGTCTCTCATGGGACTAGGTTTCCTCCACTTGGCAGATGTGATATGAGGGCAGCTAAGCAGCATTACAGGTGCAGTTAGCAAAATAGAAACAAACATCCAGATTGAAAAAATATTTATTTATTTATATATTTTTGAGTTGGAGTCTTACTCTGTCACCCAGACTGGAGTGCAGTGGTCGCTCCCGGCCACCGCAGCCTCGACCTGCTGGGCTCCAGCGATCCTTCCGCCTCAGCCTTCCAAGTAGCTGGGACTACAGGCGCGTGCTACCACGCCCGGCTGATTTTTGATTTATTGTAGAGATGAGGTCTTGCCAAGTTGCCCAGGCAGGTCTCGAACCCACGGGCTCAGGCAATCCATTCACCTCGGCCTCCCAAAGCGCTGGGATTATAGGCTGAGCCACCGAGCTCAGCCAAGCTAATGGTTATTCTTAAAAAAAAAGTCTACTAACTCAGACCTACCACTTGGAGAGCATCTAGATGCAGAAATCAAATGTTTAAATGTCTAGATGGTTTTGGAGGTCAAGGACAGAGAGATCCTGCCCCTTCCCATCCAACCCTCCCCACCAAGGTCACTATAAATACAAAGAGCATAGCCTGGGCTATTGGAAAGAAGGCATTTTTTAACCTGGTGGTGGTGACACAGGTTATACAATTGACAGTGTACACACACATATGTAAGCATATATTTCACTGTATATACTCACCCTTTTACCGTTTTAAGAACTTTTTTTTTTTTGAGTTGGAGTCTCACTCTGTCGCCCAGACTGGAGTGCAGTGGCCACTCCCGGCCACCGCAGCCTTGACCTGCTGGGCTCTGGCAATCCTTCCGCCTCAGCCTTCCAAGTAGCTGGAACTACAGGTGTGCGCTATCACGCCCGGCTCATTTTTTAAAAAAATTATTGTAGAGATGAGGTCTCACCAAGTTGCCCAGGCTGGTCTCGAACCCGTGGGCTCAGGCAATCCACTCACCTCAGCCTCCCAAAGGTGCGAGATTACAGGCTGGGCCACCGAGCCCGGTCGTTTTAACAACTTTTAAGTGTAGGGTTCAATGACATTAAATACATTTCTGTATAATCAGCACCACCATTCATCTCCAGAATGTTTTCATCAATCCCCCTGAAACTCCATTCCCATTAAGCAACTCTCCATTTCCCCTCCCCTATCCCCTGGCAACCACCATTCTGCTTTCTGTCTCTATGAAGTTGACCATTCTAGCTGCCTCATGTAAGTGGAATCGTATAGTATTTGTCCTTTTGTGTCTGACCTACTTCACTTAGCATAATGGTTTTTTATTTTTATTTTTATTATTTTATTATTTATTTTTTATTTTTTTGAGTTAGAGTCTCACTCTGTCACCGAGACTGGACTGCAGTGGCTGCTCCCGGCCACCACAGCCTCGACCTGCTGGGCTCCAGCGATCCTTCTGCCTCAGCCTTCCAAGTAGCTGGAACTACAGGCATGTGCTACCACGCCTGACTGATTTTTGATTTATTGTAGAGATGAGGTCTCACCTGCCCAGGTGGATCTCGAACCCGTGGGCTCAGGCAATCCACTCACCTCAGCCTCTCAAAGCGCTGGGATTACAGGTTGAGCCACCGAGCCTGGCAGCATAATGTGTTTTTAAATTTTTTTACATTTTTATCATAGAGACATGAGCTTGCCAAGTTTCCCAGGCTGGACTCGAACCTGTGCCTGTGGACAATCCTCTTGCCTCCACCTCCCAAAATGCTGGGATTACAGGCGTGAGCCATCGTGCCCGGTCTGCATAATATTTTCAAGTTTCATCCATGTTGCAGCATGTGTTGAAATGTGCTTCCTTAGGATGAAAAGTATTTCACAACATACTTTTAAAAATAAAAGTGACATGTTTGATTGATTTATTTTTGTTCACCCTGACATCACATTTCCCCAATCGCACTCTGGATGACTACAGACAGAGCTACTGCTGTGTGTGTAAGGGCACATGCAAATGAAAAATAAGAGCGGAATTCCCCTGCTGAAAATAAGGGATGAGCCCTCTCCCTTGCCAGCACCACAACTCAGAAACATGTCCTCAAGGACCTGGGTGCCACCTCTGCCTCCCAAAGTGCTGGAATTATATGCATGAGCCACCACATCTGGTAGAGAAGACTTTTTTTTTTTTTTTTTGAGTTGGAGTCTCACTCGATCACCCAGGCTGGAGTGCAGTGGCACACTCACTGCCACCACAACCTTGACCTGCTGGGCTCAGGTGATCCTTCTGCCTCAGCTTTCCAAGTAGCTGGAATTACAAGCACGTGCCACCACGCCACTAATTTTTTGATTTGTAGAGATGAGGTCTTACCAAGTTGACCAGGCTGGTCTCGAACACCTGGACTCAGGCAGTCCTCTCACCTCGGCCTCCCAAAGCCACAGCATCCAGCCAAAGACTCAATTTTAAATTATATTTCCCCAACAATTGAAAGAGATTCCAGTAGGGTAGAGGACCCTTCTTCAGAGATGTGTGTTGTAAGGGCTTTACTTTTTGCTTGAGGCTGCCAGCGTCTTCCCATTCACTGATTTATTTGGATAGGGTGGGATGCAGAACTGTGAATGATACCTCTTTCCCTTCATGGACAACTGAATTCATTAATTATTTTTATTTTTAAAAAATTTAATCCGGACTTGGTGGCTCAACCTGTAATCCCATGCCTTTGGGAGGCTGAGGTGAGTGGATCACCTGGGCCCGCGGGTTCGAGACCCGCCTGGGCAGCGAGACCTCATCTCTACAATAAATC